ACATAATATATACTTATATATTATATAATAAAAATAATATATGTACATATAATTAAAATTTTATAAATTTTATTTATGTAAGATTTCCGGTAAAGATGATTATTTCGATAAAATTAATCACACTAACCATCTATATCAGTAATTAGATTTAATTACCGGTAATTATATGTGCATAAAAAATAACTAATTAATTATATTTACAGTTACATACACCGATACACGAGTCGATATACGACGATGTCATACGAGGTTAACAAACGAATCGTTTTAACAATCGCTGAAAAAAACTAATAAACCTTGAATGACTTTAAACTTAATGAAAATCATCTTCAAAGAAATTATTATATTTTTGGAAGAAACCGCTGTCTGAATTAAATTACGTTGTCGAAAGCTATTCGTTGGAGATATTCGTTCTAACCGTTAGATACTTAACACTATTCATTCTTAAATCTGCACACGCGATAGTAATCGTGTATATTTGTCTTTCCTAATTGAAATTTTACAGCGGGCCCCCTATTAATCGGACTTGTAATCCATTTTAAAATTAATGGATATTTCGAATTAGCATTTATGTGAGCTAATGAAATAAATCTATGTCAACAATTTATCATCTTATCGTCCCTTTTGTGTAACAGGTGTATCGGGTTTACATAGAATTTCGAATAATCTTTCGATCGTGCGGTCTCTCTCTCTCTCTTTCTCTCGGATTATCGTATCCATCGAACAAACAGTTACATTATAACTCAGTGTATGAGGAAGAAAAGTGAAAAGATCGAAGCGCCTCTTACCTGCGATTCCTTGTACCTGCGGCTCTTACGTGGCGACTATAATCTAATCTCGATTATCCGATCGCGACGTCGACCGGCCGAGTCTAGTGTCGCGGGGTCAACACGACGTTTGCAAACATCGTAACGCGATATTGCCGCGATCTCGATCTCGATCGCCCTATTTACCTAAGGGTAGTAAGTACACATAGTGCCTGCGGGGAAATCTCGAGTGCGTGTGGGCGCAACAATACTCCGCCGTCGAGCCACACTCGAAGATCAAAGATAAATCGGATACTCTCGGAAACGTTTACTTTTTTTTTTTTGCGAGCGCGAGAATCAAAGACCGTGGGAGAGATCGCGATAAATGTTTTCCTTTTTATTTCCAAGTGTCGAAGAAACGCGAGCTGTACCTGTAATAAACGCTACTCAAGTTATTGCACGCAAGTACATCCGTATATGCGTGTAACAATCGTCAGATTATGATTTGTAAAAACGCATAAAAATTATTTTTTTCCAACAACCTTGCGCTTTTTAACATTGATATTGATTCAACCCGAAGAAAACGATGGACGCGCGATGTTTTTAATCCGCTTCGTCTGATACGGTTTCTCCAGATTTTGCGTTTCGGGTTGTACGAGGAGTACCACGATACTTTAAAAGCGGGCATGTATTGGCGTACCTATTGGTTTATCGATCCCCCCATCGGCGCGCACATTGGATTTGAGTGGCCGATGTGCGAGAGTAAAAAAGGTCCGTGTCTGTGCTGTATATATTGAATCACGTCAAAACGAATACGTTCGGAATACTTTTATTATTGCTCAAATTTTGCACGCCGTCAAATGAAAAATACCTTCGCGGACGTCATCGGAAAAAAAAGTGATCCCCGATTGTACTTATTACGCACCCTCGTGTGTGACATTTTCGATGACGCTCGCGGCGTGTATTATTCAATTCTATCGATTGCTAAATTACAATGTGGATAATCTGATCGAGTGGAAATTGCGCGTGACACGTTATGACATCGCGATAAATAACATGTGTATTTTCCCATAATAATTAATCCTGTTCGCCCGAAAAAGGGCGTATGGAAAATGTATTGTACTTTCTATCTTTCAACTTTATTCTCTGAAGAACGAGTTTTGCAAATTACACCTCGATATATATGTATATAAACCTGCCTCTATAAAAAGAGGGAATGCCACTTTTATTACTTATACGCCCCTTTTAGGACGAACCCATCAATTTGTACATTCATAAACAAGTATATCGAAGTACTTATCCGAGATAACCGACACCACGATTGTTACTTTCTGGACTTAGAGGCTCATCGAAGGAGAAACGGGAGCGGGGGCTTCCACACACTACTTCTACATTACGTATATCACGTGTTTGGTAAGTTAGGCTTGGTTAGGCAGGGTAGGTAGGTAGGTAGGTAGAAACGTAGAGAGACACGGGGATCCAAATCATAATGCGCACAATGCTTTTATTCTATTCTCATTGCGGGGTAAATAACATCTGTACATTAGATCACTATAAAATCGACCGCCATTGGTGAAACGACAATGGGGCCCTGCTCCTTCCTCTCCCCTTCCCCGCACTGCCCCATTCAAATCTCATTGTACAATATGATTCAAAAAAGGTTCGTCACGATGACGGTGTTGGTTGCGGTTTATAGACCGTATCCAGCGAAAGAGAGCCAAGGGGTGGAGGCGGGAGGAAAGGCGGAACAGGAGGGGGGAGAAAAGGAGGGTGGGAGGGAGGGAGGGAGAGAGAGAGAGAGAGCGGAGAGAGGACGACTACTGAGATACGGTGCGCGCACGGGGACGAGAGAAGGAAAGAGAGAGAGAGAGAGAAAAAAAAGGGAAAGAAAGAAAAAGGACACGTTTCTCGAGAGGGAGCGGAACGCGAAAGGCGTGCGTGGTTAAGAACAGTCGGCCGAAACAAAAGGCGGAGCGTGGAGAAACGTCTGAGCATCGCTCCGCATTGTGTTTTATGCCGGAACGGGTTTTAAATAAAAGAGTAATGTGTTTGTCCGTTGCCACCACCATTACCATCTCTCGCCACCACCGCCACTACCATCACCAGCATCACCACCATCATCGCCGCTATACTACACTATCACGCACCACACAGTCGCTATCGCTATATCACCAACATCAACCACCATCGCCTATACGGGATGATACATACAACCGACGCATACTTACACCCTCACCGATTCTCGGGGCGAGAGGGGTGAAGGTAGATAGGTAGGTGGATACGCGGCTAGGTATGTCCCTCTTTCACTCTACGGTAGATATAAACTCTTAACATCCTACGTTTGGTACAGAGCGGGCCTGCCAATCGGCGGCAAACGGGGGCGTGGTCGCATCCCAGCGAGGCCTCGCGTTTGGCCGAGGCCCCGGGGTGGAACACTGTGGCACAGTGTTTTATTTCGCGTTTACGAAGCGTGGAGGGGACCGTTAGTTTCTGCCCTATCCCTCCCTCGGGGGTAATCGTCTCTCCTTCTCTCGCTTCTCCAACCCTCTCCCCTCCCCCGCCACCCCGATTCTCTCTCATCCGCTCTCTTCCTCGCGTGTCCCTCTCCCCTTGGCCGCCGCCGCCGCCACCACCGCCGCCAACTGCGGCCCCCTTATGAGCTCCCACTTTGCTGCCGTCACCGCCGATACCGCCGCGCTACCGCCTCTCTGTCTATCCGCGTGCGCTACCTGAATCGACTCACCCGGGATGCTGCAATTGTTGACAATGCCGACGAGCGAGAGGGAGTGAGAGGGGGCGAGAGTTTGTCGCGGGGTTCCGCGCGATTCCGCATTTCGGCCCCCGACAGCCGAACGGAGCGGGTGCCGTGGGTTCTCCGTATGACACTCCAGCGGCCGCCGTAGCGGAAACCTTACGGAAGTGCGGGCGCGTGCGCGCGTTAACCGGCAAGTATCTTCTACCTTACCGCTTATCCGCCCGTCGCTCTCGCCGCAAACGTTGGAATTTCACGATTTGTCTCGACGATGGTGCGCGTAGGAACCGCCGGGTCGTGACGCGATCGTGGCACACAGTGTCGAGCAGTATCGATTCCGCGCCGCCGCCGCCGACGAATACGTGGCGGAGAGGAGGTCGGTTGAAGCGCCGATTGCGCCCGGGAAAAGCCTCTCAGAATCGTCCTCTCCGGCATGGGTGCGAGCATCATCATCGAGTACGCGGCTTCGCGCCCGGTCCGAATCATCCGCGGCGCGCGGTGATCGCGTCGTCGTCATCATCATCGTCATCATCGTCGGGAGATATATCTCCCGGTGTCGCGAGTGCCGTTAACGTCAACAAGCAGCGGACGACATGTCGCTTCCCCGCGGCGTCGGCCTCGGCGTCGACGTCGGCCAACTGATGCAGCACCAGCAGCAGCAACAGCAGCATCACGTGCTGCCGGCCGCGTTCTTCCTGCGCGCCAGTGCCGAGAGATATCAGCGGACCCCCAAGTGCGCGCGCTGTCGTAATCACGGGGTTGTGTCCGCCCTCAAGGGGCACAAGCGTTATTGCCGATGGCGGGATTGCGTGTGTGCCAAGTGCACCCTCATCGCCGAGAGGCAACGCGTCATGGCTGCTCAGGTAAGAACCTGGGGGTGGCTGTCCAACGTTCGTCGCGTGCCCCGAATCTGTCATTATTTCCGGTTCCCGAACGGAGAAATTTATTTTCAAAATGTTCTTCGAACTTACATGTAAGGATTACTGTGTTGAATAATTTTAGAAACAATCGTCAACGGGATTTTACTTGTGATTGGAGAAAAATCATTGGCATATAAAGTGCGAGGATTGTAATTGATGTAGCTTCGATGGGTTGAAGGTTGGTTAAATACGGGAGAGATTATCTCACGCTGCTTACTATTATTATAAATAATATAAAAACTGTCATAGATGTCCGTAGCAACGCGCAAATTTAAATTCGTCAAGATTATACCGATTTGTAGTTTTAGAAAAAAATATAAGAGAAGTGTGATTGTCAAATAAGAAATATCAAGATATACATGCTTAGACTTATACTTCCATAGAATTCTGTACTATTTAATGATTTTAAATGTTGCTATTATTTCCGTAAAAATGTGTGTAATTATTAAAAGATATCAATTATAAAATATATATAATATTATGTATACATGTTGAGATAAAATATATCTCATTAAAAAATCAATGTCACTTAATATAACATTATTTATGTCAAGAGACGTTTCGAGATTATATCGTAACGAGTGGATAAATAGAATTGCAGGATGAATTAAATTATCAATTAAAAGTACAATCAAATGTACGAATTACATTTGCCACTATTTAGTTCTATTAATACTCTTTTATTATATTTTTTGTAGAGCATGAGAGAAAGAGACAGTTTATATCTTTAATTCGTTTTATTCTCTTCATAATCCTCTTCTCCAATTCATCATATTTTATATATGTAAAATGTAGATATAATATTATATATATTGCATTGTTTATATTTTTGTTTATTGAAAATAATCTTATTTGATATTTTCTGAAAAGCTGAAAATTGAGACAGTTTTTCGACTTAACACAAGCGCGGATCGCACGTTAGGGTAGCTCATAGGTGAGATAAAATTACCAGCTCATGTAACGTTTCAGGATCGTAATACTATACATGTACCCGAGATTTTGTTTCCAGCCCCCTCGGTACGATCGACTTATATTCGGCCCGGTTCGATTTCATTCGAAATCTCGACCTTCTATTTCTGCGAACTCCTAACTTTTTATATCCTTGGGCTAATAAAATGATCAATGAATACATGATTGTGATCCGTGTGCATAAACTTATGCATGACTATAGGAAATGCTACGGCACAAAATTTAATTAATTGCGATTTGCAATAACGAGATTCCCAAGTCATTTAATATCGCGACGCGTATTCTCTAAAAACATGGAATGTTTCAATTACAAGCGATGTCATTTATTAACTACATCGTTTCCCAAATGCACTATCACTGTGCGGATGTGCATCTTATAACCGGGGACGCGTATATCTTCTAGCAGTTATCCCGATGGTTCGTCAAGAACGAGAATATTTTATAAAGTCGACTATCGGGGCTGTCGACACCAGATATCGCGCGATTCGCTCGCTCTAGAAATAAATAGGGAGAGGGAGAGAAATAACTCATAATCTCTTTTAAAACCGGAACGACAAATGTGGTCTTATAAATCGAGAAATATTACTGGAAACTCTTTTTCCGCAAACAGTTCGAAATAACGAAATAAATCGTAACGAATTTTACGCTGTAAAAAATTTTCTAAAAATTCAGACACATTATCGTTTGAATTTTCCGAAATTTCTTTCAGACACCCTCTGTCTTAATCATAAGAGTCGATTTTTTCTAAAAGTTCAAAAGAGTGTCTGAAAATTCAGACAGTGTGTCTGCGAAAAAGCTGCGAACACCTCATCCGAAGATTTCGGTCAGTTTCATTTTACAGCGTACGCCGTATCTTCCCTCCCGCGTTCTCACAAGCGGCGAAACGAATTGTTTCAGGTCGCGCTGAGACGGCAGCAGGCCCAGGAGGAGAGCGAGGCGCGCGAGCTGGGCCTGCAATTGCAATACAATACCGGCAGCTGCACCACCGCTCCCGTTCTACCGGCGGCCGCCGGCGCGACGCCAGCTGGTAGCCCGCCCCCGCACCCGGCTCACGTAGCGAGTCCGGCGGGCCTCGCGATACCCGCGGCGGCCCCCAAGATCGAGAAGAGCGACCCCGTCGTTGGTGAGCGAATATCTACTCTAAATTACGAGAAAATGTCCCTATTCTTCCTTTTTTTTTTTTTTAACTCGCATCAGCCAAAATTTTGCAGTTATATATAATTATAAAAAAAACGAGCTACTTTCCCCATGTAAAGGTGGGCGGAAATACTCGTTGAAAGTAGATCGAGACCGCAAGAAAGGAAAGTTAGCGTATCGCTATTTTAGCGAGGACGCAATAAAACCGCGGGCGTGTAATCGACGGCACGCGACCAAGAAGCGGGCGCGCATGTGCGTTCTTGGGCACACGCGTGACTTGCGGACGTTGAGAGTGCCCATTAGGAACGTGCGTACCACGCCTTTAAGTAGGCCAAGTGGCCGTCGTTGTGGGCCCGTAATGTTGTTAAGTAAATAATGGCCGCGAGCTCGCGGGCCCTTATTATACCACTCGAGGGCGAAAGTCGTGTACTCGTTAGTGCCGGCCTTTAATTCTCCACGTTCGACCCTTCCGCGGAAGGACTTCTTTTCCACGACAGGCTCATTCTCACCCCATACGATCCAAGTGGAATGCACACGCGACCTGGCATAAGCCCTCTCTCGTTTCTCTGATAAATGCACGCACCTTGCTCGGCATCTTTAGATATCGACAAATCTATTTAGCAAAATTGCTAGCTCGTTTGATCGATCTCGATAAAAAATATATATCTTATCCTTAAAATATATTTTTTAGAACTGAATGTGTCTATGTCTTTGAATTGTCGATACTTACTCCTCATTAAACATCAGATAAAGTTGGAACTGTAGATGATTTATGGATGGTATTTATAATGTGAAATGCGCAATGAGAATATCCATATCCGGGGCATCCACTCTTCAAAATCAGTTTTTTTTTCGGCCAGTATCACTTTATAACAATGCAGTTGCAATCGATTATCGGTTCGTAACGACCACTTTATGTAGCACTTTTCTATCGTTCGCAATTGCATTTTATTTGTTATCTCTGGCGGTGACGTTCGGCAAAAGATTGGCCCTTCGTTGGCGCTCTCGTATCGCGAATAGTTGCGGTTGATAAAATCTACCTGTATCGTGACACATCTCGTTACACGCATGCCCATTCAGCTCGCGCTTGCAACAAAAGTGTGCGGGACAGTTCATTCAACTGCTCATACACGCATTGCATTTTATCCGTTACATCTCTGTCTTTTTACAAACAAATGCGAAAGCGTTTTTGGCGTCTTTTTGGCATAGATTCTGAAAAGAAATAAGGATAGACATATTGTAAATAACTTATTAATAATGAGAAATGAATAGAATAAAAAAATCCAATTTAATATATAATAAGAACGATATATATTGTTAAATCTTTACTTTAGAAAAATTGCATTTAAGTTTTATAAAATATTTGCCTTTATATACGCGCATTCAGTTTTATTATTGTACGGAATTTTTATTTTATCCGGGCTTTCCGCGATATATTCCTGATTATATCGCTTCAAGAGAAAGAAGGAGAAAAAGAAACGAGGAAAGCACAAGGTCTGATAGCAATCGTCGCGCAGGCGAATCCGAAGCGTGCAAAAAAAGGCAAACGGTATCGACAAAGAATATCAGGAGCGAACATTTTCTTCGAGATAGAGGTGCTTCTTTATAGAACACGGATTCTGTCACCGATAGGAAAAAAAGAAAGATCGTGAAGGACGTTCTTTAACTTTCAAAAAGTAACCTACAAGTAATTAAGGATTAATTGAAAATGAAATTGTTTCTCTCTCGTATCCATCAATGCACGAATTCGCAAATTCGTAAATCTGTCAAGTTCTATATCGATGAACCGATAAATTTATATCTGTAAACCAATAAATTCCTAATAATGATCGGTGAAAATAAATCTCCAAAAAATTGCGCAGATTACTCGCCATTTAAAGAGTTATAAATCATTGTCTAAGATATGTGTCTCATCGCAGCATTATTTTTATTTACTGATCAATTTGAACTCTTCTCAATTTTTTATTTTTGATATCAAATATATAGGTCGATGAAATTGAGTCATAAATTCAATTTTCACCAAAATAAAATCCGTTTAAAAAGAATTGATAGAAAAATGATAAAGATCTATCGCTCTCCGTAGATCGCGCCGATAAAAATAACTTTTCGCGTCGTGATTACTTTCCATTAGTCTGTCACAAAATTACTTCCGCTGGTCCGTTTGTCTAGTCACGCGGAAATTTTAATCATCGATGCCCCAATGTCTCGTTGAAAACAGTAAAAACCGCGAAGAACCGACGAAGACACTGTCCCACCTCGGCGAGGACGAGGGAGCCCCTCGGGCGCACCTGGTTTCAATTACGATCCCAAGTGTACCTGCCTGTCTACGTCTTTGCGGGATGAGGGAGAGAATGTAAGATGTCTCTCCGGCCGATCTTCGAAACAGAGTGCTTACAGTAGTATATAGACGAGCCGGGGAGAGTCTCCGGTCGAGAAGTTTAGCAGTAATTGAATTTCTCGGGCCAGTGCCTTCGACCGCGGGGGATTCTGGGTTGGTCGGTAGTGTGCGCACCCACACACACACACACACACACAAACATTCCCCATCTTTCTCTCTCTCTCTCTCTCTCTCTCTTTCTGGGTAGGTCGGAGAGATCACGAGGTTGCCCCTGCTGCCAAGTGGGTGGGTGGCACTCTCGGTGGCGGAGAGAAACTCGACGAGCCCCCATTATATCGCGAACGGGGAAAGAGATATCCACCTCTTTATACTTAATGTTAAGGGAACGGACACTCGCGCGACTTGGCAAAAAAGGAGAAAGAAAAGGGATCTCCCTTTCTTCGAACGCGCGGAGAAAACTTTCGACGAGAAACGCCGGGAGGGTCTCTGTGGTTTCTTTATTCCGTTATACTTTTTTTTTTTTTTTTTGTAGGTTAACGCTACTTTTCCGTTTTGATAATTTTTATCGCCATTGCGATATGGCGGAGAACCGTGGAATGTCATTAATCCTCTTTGTTCAGAGATATTTTCGCGATTTAAACGGAGCATATTTATCTGACAGTTCACTCGTTTTGAAAATTTATAATAATTGTCTGAAACGATTGGACATTTTTGTTATAATAAATGTTAATTTAATCAAATTGACGATTTATTAATAATGTAATTAAAATATTAAAGATAGAGAGAGAGAGAGATAATAAGGATAGTCTCGTGCATTTTAATCACAATACATATGTATTTTTTGATTCCCAATATATTTCTAATATTTGTGATTTGTGATTTTGAAGATTTCTCATTCATATTCTTTGATTACTTATCTAACTTTTCAAAAATTATGAAATATATCTCTATATTTTATACGACACGTATCTTTTAATATTATAATCAAATTAAATTCTTTTCTCAAATGCGTACATAAACAAAGTTCAATAATTTTCTCTTTTGCGTACAATAATGTCTATACCAATAATTGATTGCTACAGATAATTCCAAGTATTATTATACGCTTGATCGTATCAACTGACGTTTACGAGGCATTAAAGTGCACGAGCCATGGATTTCGCGTGGCAAAGGGCGGCAGTCATTACGTCGAAAAGGATGCGGATGTAGAGATTTGGTCTTTCCGTTGAAATTCTCTCCCTGTGGAGGAGCAGGGAGGATGTACCGCGGCCTCTTTGTAGGAATACGCGCGGATGGCACACACGCACGCGACGGGCGCCTTTTGTACGTACGTGTGCGACACACCCTTTATCCCGTAAGGATCACTTGGTCCGTCTACCGGGGGACCATTATCCAGCAGTTTCTCCGGCAAAAGAGAGAGAGAGAGGAAGAGAGATAGAAGCTTCTTCGAGTGTCCAAGAAACTTTGTGAAAGACCAGTTCGCTTCCGTTCTTCGTCCTTCGCGGCTGCGGAGGACACCAGGAAATTATTTCGTTCCCGCTGTAATACGGGATCCCCTTGGATCATCCGCACTCGCGCTCGCGTGAATTCACGCGGCGTGGAATAAGCGACGCAAGAAAGATTCCGATCGCATGACTGAATCTTTCTCAGAGAGATATCGAAAGCTCCACCTGTCTGTTGTGTGTCCGCATTTTCGAATTTAATCGCTCGAATTGCGCGTAGATCAATTCATTAATCCATTAATTCCATTAATCATCCGCGTGATTTTTACATGAATTGGAAGTAGAAATTAAAAATTATAAAGTTAATTTAAAAAAAAACAATAAGGTTTTACTTTTTTTTTAAATATAAAATAAATCGATTAAATTTGTCGATTAAATCAGCTAGATAAAAAAAAAAAAGATATTATCTCGTCACTCTAAAAGTATTTAACTGTAAAACGCAACAAAAAAAAGAGTATTAATAACGGCGATTAAATCAGATAGATAAAAAAAAGATATTATCTCGTCACTCTAATTGTAAGAGTATTTAATTGTAAAACACAGCAAAAAAAAAAAAGAGAGAATTAATAACGGCGAGAGCCGGTCCCGTTAATCGATCACTCATTACATCAGCTTGATGGTACGCCGAGGTACATACCGCGCGGAAGACAGAGAGAGAGAGAGAGAGAGAGAGAGAACTCGGCAAGACAAACACACGGATTTAAGTAATCAAATCCGAAGCCGGATCGCGGCAGGATCGCGCGGCACGCTCGGCACGGCTACTTATGCTCTTACGACGTGCCTGGCAACATTGTTTGCAAAGAGTCAGCGGGACTCTTCGGGGAACACAAACGCGGACAGATAGGTAAGGCATGGGCCCGACCTTACCTATTTGCATAGGTGTACCCGGCTCTCCTCTCGGGGTCGGATGCATGTACACGTGCAACGCCGCCGAAGGAGCACGTCTCTAAGAGTGTTTGAACAAAACTTCTGCCAGGCGTTCTCCGACTACGCGCGTTTCCTCTCCCTAATCCCCCCCCCCGCCCCCATCTCCTCCTTTCACCCTTCTCGCCAAACCCTTCTCGCCAATTCCCCCCCCCCTGGTCCGCGATTCCCCTAGGATCTCTCGCGGGCCTTTAGCAGGCAGCTCGATCTCTGTTGATCGAT